TCTCCATCCGAAAATGGACAAGAATACCGAGAATACTTTCCACATCCTTCCAACTCCTGAAGAGGGTCGCCGCAGTAGTGTGGCAGAACCTTGAGGAAAAGAAATGCTTAACATGTGGCCTTACTCGGCGGCCCAGACTTGGGATTACGAGTGGGCTGCGGAAACCTACGTGCTATAATAGCGCCCGTCACTGCAAGACGATTTTCCCAATGATAGGTTTTTTTTGCAGAGAAAGCCTGAAGTTGGACACAAAGTCCATTTCTCGCCTCATCCCCAGCCACTGTAACGAGGTTATGTGGAAGGTGTCATGGATTTCTTTTTGCTTAAATGCATTAACACCGCGATGTTTGGGTTGGTAAGGCACTCTCGCTCCTTGTGCTCATTAGCAAGCCACACGCGGGGCACACATGTCGGTTGGGAATTTCGTGGTGTGGTCACCGTCAGAGAGATGGGCAGCAGTACACGGTAGCATTCTTAAGAATGCAATCGCTTGCTTAAGAAAGTACACACAGACATGGCTGTTAACCCACACGGGGAGGAGCGGCTCTCGGCTGCTAAATTGCACGAACGCAGAACAGGACGAAAAAAAACCGTACATATCCACACACACACACACGAGTTCCCTGTAATGAGAAAAAATAAGCTGTGATCATTAAAAGTGATTTGCATCGATGTCCATGGTTGATGCTGTAGTAATCAATTCTGGTAATGATTCATAATCAGAAATATCACGGTTTGGCTTAAGGATATTTAGGATGAGGAACTGAACTTGGGTTGCAGTGAAGGCTCGAGTTTGGCCAATCGTAGGATTAGGGCTCAGTGTCTTCTCTTTAGTGTTCAGGATAGAATTATGCATAAGGTTATGGTTAAAATTAGAGACAGAGTATCTGCTTAATTGCTAGGGCTAGGATTATGGAAAAGGTTACCCTTAATCCTATCCTTATTAATTCCATGGAAATAATTTATGCCACATTTTAAGACCTTGTGTAAATATATATTTTTTTAATAACCAGGGTTGAAAATTAGTAGGTCAATGTCTGGGTCTTTTTAAAGAGTTGGTCTAGGTTTGTAGCTACAATTATGGCTATAGTTGGGTACAAGTTTGAGATTTTTTTTAAGCTTTCGTGCTAGATTTATAGTGAATACTAGAGCCAATGCCAAGGTCAGGGTCTCTCTATGTTAAGCTTTAGTTAAGGCTTGATTCTTTAACACAAATAGCATTTGTCATGTTCTACGACCGCTCAATACAACCACTGCATCCTCAGAAGCTGTCTCAGGTGTCAGGCCCGAGTGCTGTGGGGCACGACGCATTCAGGGGTGCGATCTGTGCTGCCAGCCCGACTTAGGTTAGATCCAATCAAGGGCAAGCCTGCAGTCCATGCAGTCAAAACACCCATCCGTATTATCCAAAGGTGCTCACACAAACAAAGATCCTCCATAAAGTCTGCACGGGCTTTTGGGGCAAGCGCTGATAGCGAGTACCCATGAAAGCTAGAATGGCACACACGAGGGTGTGGTGTGGCCAGAATCCATGCCTGGAAAATAATTTGTCTTGCCAGTGCTGACGTTAACAAACCATGCCAGGTACTCGCTTAATACCGAGTACACCTCGTGGGTGCCTGGGACTAGTTCGGGTATCAGTCACCACTGATGTTAGCTGTGTGGATGGGAATCAAACCTAGGACGATCGGCACGGCACACGGTGGTGGGGGGGGTGGACCAGCAGCACGCCTGGCTGAATTGTCTTCCCAGTGCTGATGCTTACACACCGCACCAGGTACGGTACGTCCTCTATTTACGTTGGGGATGCGTCCCTGGAAGATGCGACGTTTGGCTAAACAATGTAAATGGAAAACCTATTTTTACAATTGACTTAATCACATTCGATTTATGGTAAGTTCCCGAGGGTAATTTTTTTTTGCAATTTTTTTTTCTCTCAAAAAAATGCAATCCAAGATACCAATAAAATAATATTGCTATATAACAAGTTTAAATAAATTATATAAGTTAATACTGAGCACTTACCGAAAGACGGTGACAGAGATCGCATTTAGAGGCGTGGTGTGGGGTGAAGGCGACTTGAGAGGAGTTAGGGTCTGGGCAGCGATGTCGCTAACACTGTCGAGGGGAGAGCGCCGGTTCAGCGCACCGCCGCGTAGCGCGTCATCGCGTATACTGCCCATAAACTCGGCTGCGTTCTTTTCTTTGAAAACATTTTTTCCAGAACACCGTTGTTGTGAATTCAATGCACTTTAAAGCAAATTACTTTCCCCGGTTCATTGGCGACGACATAGTGAAACAACGTCAATAGGATCGACGTATACAGAGGATATTCTTGGTTCTTTTGGTGACGTCACGTAGATATAACACGAAAAAAATAAATAAATAACAATCAAGTAAATTACAAATGTAAATAATAATAAAAATAAAGAAAAATAATAATGGATTGAAAATAAAAGCAAAAAAACCACACGAAAATAAAAAAATAATAGTCAAATTTACTTTAAAATAAATTGAAAATAATAAAATAAAAAAACCCATGGCGTTTCGATCGCAACACAAACGGTCTTCATCAGGCGGAGAGTGGAATTTTGCTTTTATTACTTTAAATTTATTTTCTTTTTATGACTTTATTTTTTTAATTTAAAATGTTTTTTTTTAAACTAATTTTTTATTTACTTTGTGTTTTCTACCTATGTGACTTTACCGAAAGAACCAAGAATATGAATTCCTGCAGCCACGGAAGTTTTACGTCTAAAAGTAAATAGAGGACTTGCTGCACTCATTTAAGGCTGAGTTGACCTAGAGGGACACTCACGACCGGTTAAAATATTCACCACTTTTGTTGGTCGTGAGTGAAGATCGAACTCGGTCGCTGGGTTTGCAGCACAGTGCGCTAATCACTACACAACCCGCTTACTCACATGCACACACAACAGCACACAAAGAAACACACACACGCACGCATACGTTAACAGGTGTAATAGTAACACCAGCATACAGTGCACGATGGGAATGAATGCACACGTGTAACACAAACATTGTAGAAATACTCTCTCAAACAGAGTGTTGAGACTTGAGTGTCCCGTGATTGTAGATCTCAGTCTCAGTTTAAGAATATGTCCTCAGTGGCATGATCTCCAAAGCTTAAAAGACCGGATGCTGATCATTATACAGAACGATAGCCATGCGCGCACACACACACACGCACACCCAATGTGATCACAACATTATTGGCATTAGTGGAGATATACAACCCATAGAACATGTGGTTTTACCAAAATCACCTGCAACACCATCAACCCCAAACCCACCCATCAGCCCTGAGCCTTTTGAAATAATTAAACTTGATTCATCACAAAACCCCACTCGTGATTACTTGGTTACTCAACATGAACCTCGATGTAAAGTCTACGAGGCGTCAATTGGCAGGTTAGTTGTTTTCATATTTACATTTCTTTGTCATCATTTCGCTTTTGATATTTTATTGACAGTGCTCGAGTCGTGCACCTCAACTCGAGAACTCGCTTCACACCAACCTCGATGTGCCGCTGCCAAACACAATCACACTAACAGCAGCTGTCTCTTAATACGAAGGTTTGCGTTTCACCGCGCAGACGAAGCAACATAAACAATGTACATTTTTTTTTGCCCATTCTCATAATATCTTGTACAAGAGAGGTCATAGTTTTAAAAGAACAATTGTTAGCTCTTTACAATTTACTTGCAAGGAATTTTCAGATGTGAGATTTTGGCTAGGCCACTAGCACCCAAAAGCTTACTCTTACAATGACATCACAGTTTACAATCCACTTTAGAGAGCACACCAAGCTTTAGTATGAAATATACTGTCGTGAAGGATTTAAATACTGAGCATCTATCTATAGGGATAATGAAACATTCAACTCCATGCAAACCGGCTCAGTGGCAGGCTTGCGGATTGCTCGGGTATCCAACCTCGTGTTTTTTTCTCTTTCTGGGATGAAGGGGTCCAGGTCTGATTAGTCTGCATCGGAGTTAGCAGCCAATACGCAGAGCCTGACGACAACATTTGTAATTCTGTGAACTGCACAGCGCCCACATAAATACTTCACAGCCTCATGTGCATGAGGGCACTAAATCTGCAAAGTAGCAAAATAATGGCTTGGGTCGGCTTTAGAGGTGAACATCTGTGAGACGGAGACATGGGTCTGATGAACGTTGGTAGTTGCTATAAGGCCGGTGGGAAGCTTTACAATTAGGGAAGCTACAATTGTATTGCTCGAGGCATTGCTCATATTAAGGAAATGGGTTGCAATTAATAATTTTTCTTTTAGATCCTTGGCCACAATTGATCAATATCCTGAGCGAGTTGAGCACAACATATTAACTACAGTGAGACAATTTAACAATCTGCAGAGTGGTTTCACAAAACTACTTAATTTTATGGCCATTTTATAGGATTGCATTTTAGCTCAACTGAATTGGATGGAACTGACAAAAAAAACATTGGCACAAGGACAGTAGGCAATTACAGCCGATAAAGTAGCTTAAAATTAACGTTTATTTTAATGAGAAAATACACTCTTTTGCCAACAGCCTTTCACTTACTATTTCTTCATGTTGGATTTATTTATAAAAAAAATATATGCTGTATTTTACGAAAAATTCAGCTGATTTAATACCAATTTAATTGTGGTCACCAATTACAGAAAATTACTATCCAGCATTAAAACTGATAATTTTCTGACAGCACGATTTATGTTTGAAGATGCATTCAGGTCCTATTCAATCTATGCGATTTTAGAAATCTTTCCACAGAAAAGCCTCACTGGGTCTCAAGGCTTCAAGAAGTTCCTGCTTCGGATATTTTATTTCATTTCGAGGTACTTACACAACTGGGAGGAAATTGCAATGAAGCGAGAACATCCATGCCTAGCAAGGGAGAACTCACACTGCACAAATGGGGTCCCATCACCTACTTTCTGTACTGCATACTCCAGGTATACCAGACATCAAGGTCCCATCTATACATGACCACTCAGCTTCAAGAGTGGCCACTGATATCCGCTATTTCTGTGGCCATGGTACCTTAACCGAGGCGAGTCTCAGGAACATAACGGAGTGTGCTGTAGCCAACCTGCCTCATAGACACAGCAACGATGCTGCGGGAAGCGAACCTTGGATTGCTGCACACATGCGTGCGAGAACACATACACAAATGCAATACTCGCGCCTCTTCCTCAGTGGGGACTTTAAAAAAAAGATGATCCTATTTATACGTGGCCATCCACTGCATCTCCTCCTATTTACCTGACACTTAATGTCCTGTTTCCCTTGGCTGCCATTACCTCTGATCCAATTTTAAAAAAAGGCCATGCGCGCGCTCAAAATATCTGTCCGTCTCCCTCAACACACATCACAACTGTGCAATAACCAGGCACTGTGTGTGGCAGCTGCCAACAATGTCCACATAAACCCTGGCAGGAGGGGGGGGGGGGGCAGTGGTGATGGGCGGCGGGGGGCAAGAGAGGGACTGACCGTGCCGACCGAGCGACGGTCCATGGCACCGTACCCTGGCTTCTGTCCTCACCCTGCTTTCATCAGGCGACCGCCAGAGCACACCCCGTCCCTCCCCTCCCCCCCCCTCGCTGTGACCCCCTGGCCCCGTTTAGCAGTCGAGCTCCATGGCCGATGCCCACTTCCGGCGGTCGCTCACAAAGCCCTGGTTCTGCTTGAGGGTGAACGCATCAACACTCGGGCCCAGGCTGCGCGACGCCGGCAGCTGCAGGAAGCCCTTGTGCGCGGAACTGTACTTGTAGAGGGCGGTGGCGCGCTCCGTGAGCGAACCAGCGGTGAGGCTCGCAGGGCCCAGGCCGCACAGCCGCCACACGGCGCCCGTTTCCGGGTAATGCGCGTAGAGCGCGCGGAACTGCCAGCCGCCGCCCGGCCGGAACAGAATGAGGAAGTGGGGTGCGTCGCACATCTCCAGTTCCTGCAGCAACGAGAGGCGATGGGGAAGGTTGAGTGAGGATGAAATGGGGAGAGGGAGAGAGAGAAAGGATGGTGAAAAGGTGAGTGGGAATTGATTAGCAGGGGGGGAAGAGAGGGGGGGGGGGGGGAAATGTCGGCAAGCGTGTTGAGCGTGGGATAGGTCAGAGCGTTTTTCAAAAGGACGCAGGTTGAAGAGTCAGTATGAGCACACACGATGCTATCTGCTTACAGATGCTTGAGACGCATGTACCATTCGTCTCAAGTGCATCTGGATTCAGGTCCTTATGAATATGTACCTCTGATGTATACCTGTTAATCAATAAATCAATGACTGCAAAAATTGCGACGCATCCGAAAAAAACACTGGACGCATGTAGCAAAAAAGACTTCCACACACGGACAAATATCGAGCAAAACGTGCGGTGAAGTAAACGAGGTCGAAAAAATCATCACTGTCATTGTTGTCATCAGTAAACACACCACAACTGAAAAATATTAAATAAGTTTACAATTCACCAATGATCCTTCCAAAGTTGCATTTCATCCGAAATATTGATCAGTTTTGAAGCTGTACTTATTTATGCACATGTGCAAGCGCAGGTTGAAAAAAGTATTTTCATCCTGTGCTGCACACAGCCAAAGCAGTGACCTACAAATGTAAATACGAAATATGCTCCCCTCCCCCCAAAAAAACCTCTATTGTGGAAAAAACGAAATAGATATTTTTGGTTTTTATTAAACCCAAATCAACAGTCATAACAGAATGGCACATGAACGTACGAGCAAAGCTTGCTTGTCTAGGGATTAAGCTCTCTGGGTAAGTCTTTCCTCCCTAAAAGGGGGCTTTTGTTAAAGTGTACCGGGTTCATTTTCTAACGAAGGTGGGGAGTGGGGACTCTGTGGGGGGGGGGGGGGGGGAGGGTAGTATGACGAAGATAATGAGCAAAATGAAGATAGGGTATGCTGAGAGTAAAGTGAGTCCTGGGGCCCGTCCCCCCACCTCCTCACCATTTCCAAGAGCTTTCTTGTTTGGAGTTCATATCATGGCATCCTCGGGTAGCACGAAATAGATATTTATACCCAAACGCAGAGGCAGAAAGATTCACTGACCAAGCTACTGACAGGCGAGACAGACGCACTTATTTGAGTGACCAACTGACCTGCAGCACCTTCAGTTTTTGGTTCTCGTTCACCTTGCCAGCCAGGCAGCAGTGCGACACCGCATTCTGCACCAGCGAGCGGTTAGTTTTACTGCTCGGCTCCACAAACAGCCGGGGGCCTGCAACACATCACCACCGACACCAACGGCAACATTACTGTTTTCACAATCACCGAGATCCTTGTCATCGACCCACACCCATCCCAACCCAGCTACCTCCTCAGCCATCCAGCCAGCCACCCACGCAGCCACACCACCCACCACCATCCCAGTGTAAGGCACTGCGTTGTATGTCATCCATCATATGATAGATGCTCGTACCTGTGTATGTGGAAGAGCCAGTTGATTGACTGTCCCAGTCCCTCTCCTCGCTTGATACTCCCTCCCCATCCAACACCTCCATCGACCCACACCTACAGAAACACACACACACAAGCACGCGTGCGTGTGAGCACATGCATCTATACAATAAATGCCTGTACAGATGTTTCTGTACAGCTGTTTGATATGCGGTTTCATTTACACCGTAAATACTTCGTAATTATTTTGTATATATCACAAAGACAAAGATTCCCCGTGTAGCCATTGGGACAAGTGGTGTTGGCAAGCACCTATTAAGGCTGGAACCACACACAAGAGTTGTGTGGCGAGCACCATGACTGACCGAATCTGCCTTTGTGATGTTTACACACCGGCACCAGGTACTGATTTAAGGCTGACTGCACTGAGAGGAAGCCCACGATCATTACTGATATCAAACGCCACTGATATTAGCCGTAGTCGGAAATCTAAGTTAGGTCGATGGGCTCATAGTACAGTGCACTATCCACTTCAGCACTGCTTCCCACGTGTGCTTATATATATTTACGTGTATGTAAAGAGCAAGTGCAATTTTGAAAATACCTATTAAAGGGAACAATATATACAAAGGGTGTGCTGGGGCTCACAAAATGCATACCCCAACCACTTTTTTTATCAACAGTTTTACTTAACTTGACTCCTATGTTTGTCGTGGTCAAATCTTGCAATCAAAATTTTGTCTACTTCCTGTTGTCCAATCAATTCCAAATTTTGCACACGTACTCAGATCCGGTGACAATGCATGCCTGTATCAATTAATTTGCTACTTTAAAGCAATTAACATTTTCTTTGGTTCTTTCGGTAAAGTCACGTATTCTCATTCTACGTGACTTTACCGAAAGAACTAAAGAAGATGAATCCCTGCAGTCACGAAAGCTTTAAATCGAAAATTCACATTTTGTATGGACGCCTTATTATTTATCTATATTTGTGGAGGTGAAAAACGCCGCGGTCCCTAAACTCTGGAATCGCCTCGCCCAAGAAGCAGGCGCTGCCACGTGTCTCATGCGCCATGTGTCTCAGGCGCTACCGCGTGTCTCAGGCGTGCCTGCTAAGTGTGAACGAGTTACGGAAGTGATTAATTCAAGTAAGCGTTGATGTGAGAGCAGGCGCCGTATCATTGACGTACTTCCCGACCGTGAGTTAAAACCGTTGTTTAAAAGAAAGATTGTTTTAAGGAGTTCATTCATATTTAACCTGAAAACAGGGTCCTTTATTGATGAGAAATAAAATACTCAATTCACCTTCATCAGTCTGCATGTGGCGTATTGAATGTTGAGGGCCTTATCACAAGCAAGGCAGCATGAGCACGCTGTGAAGGCCTCAACAGAACTGACCATGACCCCTTTGACCATTATACATTATGAAGGCTCTCCTCCTCCTTGATTTGTGCTTGAGAGATTAACAAAAAAACTGGGGGCTGAACGGAGGAGTCCACACAAGAATAAGCGCACAACTGGGCAAAGCACACATATCCCATAGCCAATATTAACCAGCATTGCACACTCTTACATCATTCAGAATTGTTTAAAATAAATTAAAATAGCTGGCAATTGATTCCTGTAATATGAAACCTCCTATGATATAAGAAAATGTTTAATACAATACGAGTGTTTTTTATCTACAAGAAGTCTGCCGACAGCGATTGATTGCAGAAATAATTATATTTTGGGAATTTGACCAGAATGACATTGATTAAAATGACACGAAATTAGATTTTTTTTTTCAAACCCTGGACAGACTTCACATTTCACTGAATCAAATTGCTCTAAATTGCTAGAAGATATCGCCCTGGTTTAACGCACCACGAGGAATATTAACAGACCGCACCTGACAGTTCACCATCGGCAAAAAATGCAAGTGAAGCACCATTACATCGAGAGGGGGAAGATAATAATGCGTGGCAGGTCAGCTGTCAGCCAGGCAGGCATTTTTATTGCCCAATTATAAAGTGCCGATGTCATGAAAACCGAGGTGAGTTTATATCAGGAATCCCCGCTGTTTTCAGAATATATTTTTTTACCTCTTGCGAGCAGCAGATCCACGCCCGCCACTGTGGGCAGGCAGTGATGCCAGCGATGCGCATGAAGTAGACTGCAGCTTGCTTATAGCGGTCCCTGTTTAGCATGTTAAATGTGCACACAAACAAAACAACAACCCCCATTTTCCATCAAACGGCAGAGATGTCACCACGGCACTTGTGCCAGGCTATTAAGGCCACACACACACACGACCCATGCACGCACACGCATTCATATTGCTTGTGTAAGTTAATAATCTATACATACTCTATGTCAGCCTGTGACCAAATCACCTGGAAGGTGCCCCATCCCATCACACCCAGGAAGCTAAGCGGGGTGGACCCTTCACAGTGCTTTAATGGGTGACGATCAAGTATGATAAGATTATGCTTTTATGGGTGACGATCCTGTATGATACGATTATTATTGAGGGTGCGTGGTGGGCAGCAGAAGGCGGTATAACTAAATCCATTATAGTACTGTACTTCTATGCTCACACATCTCTCATACCCATACCTTCTCCAACCCGCACTGACTAGCGGCTTGGCCAAGTAACCCCCCACGGCACAGGGGAGGTACTCATTCAGCACAGCACCAACACAAGGGCTGTACTCATGTACACCAAAGGGGCAAACAAACCAACGTGCGCATGCAAAGCTATGCCTTGAAGCAGTTGTGTACGGGGCACCTTCACAGCTCAGCAGAATGCATGCATATTTTCAATGAGCAAAAAGACGACCACTGATAGTTTAGCCTAGAGAAATTTGGATTTGCTGCTCGTGAGCACCTATTAAAAGTCTGTGGTAGTTGGGCCACCGCATGTATTCTCAGAATTAAATTGTGAACACACCTTGTATTAATTTAGGCAAGGTTTACCTCGCGCAAAATCGACAGTTGTTGTGTACTTCTATGCTCCAACGTCTACGCTCCCAAACCTAACCAAAATGAATTGACACAACATGGCTGAGTATTGTCAAAACCTCCCCCATTACCCACATGAGCAGAGGGGCCCTCATCCAGTAATGGATTGACGAAAATCGGCTATACATTTACATCACCTAGAGGTGGCTCAAGCCAAAGTCTGATGCTATTTGCCACTGGTGCATTGTACAACCAAATGAGCAAGCACAAACACACCCAACAACGCAAAAACAGCCGCCGCTTGTCACTAAGCGGTGACGACGTCGCCACGGCGCTTGTGCCAGGCTAGGTGCACTTTGACGCCACGTGCTAGCACGGGTGTCTGCCAAATGTGCAACTTTTCAAATCGGTTTTGAAAAGTAAAAAAAAAGTCAGTCGCACAAGCCGCCTGGACCAGCTTCTTCGTGCACTGTCCAGTGGTATCAAATACTTAACGATTCCGTCATGAACATTGCATTCCTGGTCCCGTGCCAGTGTGCGAGAATCGAACATCTGGTGTGCATCCTTGTGTGAACGTGTGTGTGTGTGTGTGTTGCGTTTGTGCGTATTTCAGTAGCCAATAAGCGTGTACACTGCTATCCACAAGCTGCCTGTGTTAGTGACTCTGCGTGTGTGTGCACTATATACCCGTAGTGCGTGACTGGTCAACTCCTCTCCCTGGTGTTCTCCTTTTAGACAACAAGGGTTCCGGAGTGTCCCTCCCGTCTCTCCGTCTATGACACGCACATCAAAACATGCACGAATACAGATAATAAATAATAATAAAAAATCCCCCATTTACAGACAAACGATGCTAAAATCTACTACTTATCTAGACCAGCACACGACACACAAAGGAAGTTGTGCCAGTAATACACACGTCTGTCCGGTCTAACTCCCCAAAATTGATGGTCATAGTTTTCCACACCAAGCACTCGTTTTACATACCAACTGCCACTGGTAAACAGCCAGGAATTTAACCAGGGCCTCAAGTGCACTGTACTAATGGATAGTCTGAGAAATATGCACGTATTGAAGGCTGCAATACCACATTTGTGAATTACACAGACCTTGAAACCTAAGCAGGCGCCGATACCGATGAATACAAAAAAAAACACACACACCAATCGGAACACCAACCAAACACAAACACATCGAGCAGAGCTCTCTGGCCCACCTCGGCGTGCTCCCGCCTGCATTGCGTGGCGTTCCTGGTCGCGGCTGCTGCTGCTGCTGCTGCTGCTGCCTCGAATTCGCGTTTTCACTGCTCAGGTCCGGAGTCGACTTTGAGTTGCGTTTACTGAGCCCGCTTCCGCTCGTACTGTCCCCCCCCCTCTTCACGTCGCCGCCACCTCTGCCATCCGCCTTCGCCGACCGAATCTTCGCGGCCGCGGTCCCAACTCGCAGCTTGGGACTGGCGACCACTGGAGTCCATTCCTCGTTGCCGTTTGAGATCCCCCCCTTGCCGTCATTGCCGTTGAGGCCGGCGCCGGCCGCGGGGGACGTGGCGTCCACGTCGGCGTAGAACCGACGGAGGTGCGGTGTCTGCACGCTGCTCGCGAACGGCCGGGGGCTCAGCAGCTGATGACGGCGAGTGATGCCGACGGTTGAGGCCGAGTCCCCATCTCCACCGAGGCGCACGTTTAAATTGTGGTCGCGCTCCGGACTGCGGTTGCGGTTGGCGTCTCTCGCGTGTGACTTCTTCGACGGCAGGGTCATCGAGTTGTAGGTGCCGGACGTCGGTGGCTTCTGCACCCCGTGCCTTGCCGGCAGGGGGTGGCGTTCTCGGCCCTCGAAGCTCGGGGTCTTTGGAGACAGCTGGACAAACCGCGCTTCGCCACGTCCCAGTAAGTTGTCTGACGATTTGGCCCGAGGAAGCGTGGACGATAACTGCTTCTTGGGGTTGACTGGGGTGGTCGGGCGAAATGTGTCCACCTCCTTGGGTCCGTTTCTAATGAGGTTTTCCTGCTCCAGCGAGAGATGCTTCATGTCGCGTTGCAGGTCCAGCAACGTCTCCACAAGGCGGGCGATTTCCTCGCTGTCGCTATCCCCTGCGCAAAAAAGCAAGCGAACAAGTGGCACAGGTCGCATTCATTGTTCTGTATACAAAGCAATTTGAGAGTCACTAGCGGTGCTGTGATCTTTGATAGGAGTGTGTACCAAGTAAACTATAAACAAAACTATTCACATCATGGGATCTCCGTTGCCAGTACCAAAATATGATAATAGGTTTTTACCTTTTTTCTGGCAACAAAACAGGTGTTAAGATGTTAAAACACCAAACTTAAACCTTTTACAAGGAATCATGTCTGCATTAACCACAATGCTTGTGGTCAGAATGCAAACAAAAAACACTCAGATAATAAATGCATTGTCCTTGAAACTGATTGGTCCACACCAGAGAGCTTTCTTTAGAGCCTAGTCTCAAACGGTGTTCGACCAGAGGACGCCAAAAGGCATACCAATCAGTTTCAAAGACAATGCATATATTATCAGAGTATGTTTTTTGTTTGCATTCTGACCACAAGCATTGTGGTTAATGCAGACACGATTCCTTGTAAAAGGTTTCTGTTTGGTGTTTTAACATCTTAACACCTGTTTTGTTGCCAGAAAAAAGGGGAAAACCTATTATCAAAACTATTCACTTTACCAGGTAAGGCCCACTATGCTACGTAGCTCTTTTTCAGAAGCAACACGGTCACAAATGAGAGGCCAATGAAGTGGCTTATCACGTGGAAATGTCTGGCAGCCAAATACTCTAAATGCATGTTTCTAAATGTGGAGAGAAACACCAGAGGACCCGGAGAAAAATCCACGCGACCACGGGGAGAACATGCAAACTCCAAATATACAGGTGTCAGGGTCGGGATCAAACGCATGACCTCCTGTATACCAGGTGAGGGAGTTAACATCTCACCACCGTGGCACCCTAAGTATCACAAGCATGTATAATGAATGACAATAGCATCATCAATTAATTTAAAAAAACAAATGTCAGGAAAGAAAGCATTTAATATTGTCAATTGTGGCCTGCATGTAAAAATAAAAATATGATTGATGATGAGCGCTTGTGTTGCGTTGGAAATGTCGTGATTATTTTAATTAAATTTTATTTGTGATTTATTAAAATTTTCTTTTATTTCTACATACGTGAATTTACCGAAAAAACAATGAGTATATATGGTTTCAATAAAACAAGCAATGATTAACTAATTATTTAAAATATAGTTTGAACAATTATCCACGTGAGTTTACACGTGCAGCTATTTGTCAATCCACTGCTGGATGAGGGCCTTCCCATGCCGTGTGGGCCGTGGGAGTTGACTACTTCACTGTTCTGGCCACTGCATATTGGTGAAGGCGGAGTGTGTAGATGTGAGAGCATAGACGCAGAGTACAATACTTTTTGCTGCACTGCCCACAATGTAGTCCCGCAGTGCCAGTGTAAAACAGTGTTCGTGTAACACTGTACAGTGGAACATGTTCTTGTAGCGTTTTATTTTACATCTGTTTTAACAACTCTACACTTCACTCTGCCCGTGCTACACATGTTACACCCACCTTTTGCATCATCATCCTCATCGCCGTTGTTATTGCCACAATCATCTCTGCCATCCTCCTCAGCAGAGCTCCCACAATGCACTGCTTCCCCTCCCTGGGGCTGTGGTCGCGTTGCCCTTTTGCGTTTGTGCTGCCGAGCGTCCCTCCGAGCGCACAGCTCGCTCACCTGCGTGTGAGCAAACATGCACAGAAGACAAAGATCACCTTTATTAGCTTACCTAGGCTGCTGGGGTAAATGCTTTTAGTGACCACTTATGAAGGATGGTACGGCCCAGACCCCATGTCCCTGTGTTGCTGGCCACACCAAGCGTGCGGTAAACACTCGACGGAGCCAGCCATCTCCACCCACGTACCTGCAGTGTCAGCGCCTGCATGGCCATCTGCTTCGCCTCGAACTGCGCCTGCACAGCCAGAACCCTCTCCTCGAACCACCCGCGCCCGCCTACGTCGCGCTCCGGCAAGGCCTCGTGCCCACGCAGCCTCGTCAACAGCTGCTTCTGCTGTTTTTTGGCGCCATCGGGCAGGGGGCTGGACGTGGCGAAGGGCGAGTCCAAGTCATGCGGTGCCTGCGCCGTCCCCGTGCCGAAGCTACCGAAGGCCGAGTCATCACTCTGGGAGAGGACACCCGAGTCGTGCTCGCACGAGTCGCGGCTGGCCTGGCCCTCGGTGCCCGGCACCCGCGGGGAATCCAGAGTGGCGCCGCCGCTGTCGGCGGTTCGGTCGACTGCAGCGCTCCCTCGCGGCGGTCTCGACGCCACCTTCGGAAACATGAACGTCTCGGGTTTCTTGGAGAAGCCCCGCGGCAACGCCAAAGAGGCCGCCGGGAGCCCCGATGAAGCGGTGGTGCCTGCCTTCGCATCGCCTTGATGCTTCTTCCGCTCGAGTGTCTCGAAAAAGTTTCGGCGGTTCGCCACGGCAGGGCCAGGGCTCAGGTTTGCCAGCTCGTCGGCATGCGGGGCGGCAGGTTGCTGCGCGGGTCTCGGTTGCAGGTGGTGACTCGACGCCGACATTGTTGGTTTTTGAGGGTTGGACCTGGATGGGGGTCCGTGACCAGGAGCCGGGTCCGAGAGTCCGGACAAAAAAATGTTGTCCGGCTTTTTGGGTATCGCTGGCTTGATTGGTGTCGGCGTTTTGTCAGAGATTTTTGAAGGCGGGTTGGAGAAGGGACTGCAGTAAGGGAGAAGGAAAGAGAGACAAAAGCATATTTATAAATTGATTAATGTGATACACATAGCCTTTTTTCAGGAGCTTTGAGGTGAAGTGCAATTCCATTCTGAACCTTCGCTCAAATATGAGAATTCCCTACTGAGAGGTCAGACACGCTGTAGATTGGGAAACAGCAGATTTACCCCACGCTGTCTCAATCACTTTCTGTCATCTGCCCTGTAGAGGTTTTTACCAGTATGAGTGCATGAGTTGTAAAATATGGTGCTGCAGTTCGATTGAATAATATAAAAATGTCAACTCGGGACTGTTTATTTTAGTCTGTGCACTCAATGGTAACTGGGTTGACATCAAGCTCACTGTGCAATAACTGTTATTTATTTAATTACCAAGAGCTGTAGCAGGTTTTCTCAGAGTTGCTAGCTCAGTGCCCTGAAAGAGGCATCAGAGCCTTAAGCGACACTCAGTCCCATGGCTTGAAGCAAAGAAATCATGGCACATTGCTCCAACATGCATGCATAAGCCCCCCTCAGAGGCCAATAAACCAGCCCCAGGGTTTGAACCCAGTTCCATGGCGGTGCTGGCTCAGTGCAGGACACTACTGGGTTATCATCATCATTAGACCTCCTTTGCCAGTACCAAAATGTAATAATAGCGTTTTTCCCTTTTTTTCTGGCAACAAAACTGAAACCTTTTTACAAGGATTCATGTCTGCATTAACCACAATACCTGCAGTCAAAATGCAAACAAAAAACATACTATGATAATATATGCATTGTCCTTGAAACTGATTGGTCCACACCAAGGGACGGCTTTCTTTTGAGCCTCGGCACAATTGCTGCTCGACCAGATGACGCCAAAAGGCGTATTGTTACTACTGGGTTACCTAGGCACCTGGGTAGGACGCTATTTGACAAAGCTTCGGGGGGCCTTATCAAGTAGAGGTTATATATCTTGACTTAAATTATCTAAACCTGTTTACTGCATATGTCATGTGTAAGTGGACGGTGACGACAACAAGTCATATATGTTCACCATCAATGCTTAACACTTCTGGATTTGTGTTGCATAATGCAGCTCTACACAGAAATTATTACGAAACATAAATGGCTAACAATCTTGATGCAGTCAACTCTGCTTAATTAAGGGATATGGGTTACTTAAAGTCAAGTTATTTACATACGGAAATTGGGTGATTAAAAAAACATTTTAAAGTCTAAATTGTCATCACTCGTGAAAAAAGAAACGTTCAGGTAGCATTGATAAAGTGGGTTCAATATAACATGGGCGGACAATATTAAAAACCATTATCTTTACCGTCGAAGAAATTTCATAATTTGAAAAAAGAATTCTTCTCAAGGAGTTCACGAACACCTTTGAAACGTTTACAGCTATTTAATAACATATCAAAGACTTCAGGAGAAGCTTGGTCATTTTTGGCACCTCTCTCCATCACAAGGTAACATTATGTATGAATATATGTGCAGTTATTCTATTTTCTGCCCACTCATTTTGCGAAATATGTGCAGGAGACCATATTACCAGAAACCCATTTAGAGCGATCCACCCTTAGGAAAAGCTACACTTTGTTATCACAGGTCTCATTCTCTCTAAATTAAGGGAACCATTTTTTTTTTACTTTTATAAAATTATTTTAACATTTTTGTCAGGAATACGCTTCTGGAAAGATCGGCTCAAAATGAGTTAGTATTAGAATGCTCATGGTAAATTATAATGAAAATGCAGGTCGCCAGTTGTATTTTTGAGGCCATGGGTGCAATTTTAGAAGGACCATCTCGGCTCAAAATTGTCACAGGGTAAAATTTTGGCTGTGCTCATATTCCATCACTGTGCATATCTGATTAAATGTTTAATGAGATGGTCAGGTGCAAGACATCTGGTCCCATTTAAGTGGAATGTCTCACATTTTTTATTAAATTATTAAAAAAACACTTTTTTGTCAAATTGCGACCCTAAAAAGGAAGAATTCATTTAATTGCTGGGTGTGTGAATCATTGCTTGTCTCGTGATTGGGTTCGTGAGAGATCTGTATCATTTGCCCACAACTTTCAAGAAAAATAATACCATTTTAGATGGACTTCCCAAAGATTTTTAATAGAAATGGATAATCACTAACTTTTTTTTGACCAGCAAGGAGTCATTTTTTTCTTTTTAAAATCATTACATTGTTGGATTTCTGTTGGATAAACTCTTGCCTGATAATTCCCAGATGCTTAAATGGCATTTGATGATTAAGGCAGAAGAAACGTTAATAATTTAAAGCCAAACTTCGATAGCATTCTCAACTGGAATACAAATATATAACTAGGAAAAAATCTCTAAAACAAGAGAAATGAAATGGGTAAATATTTGTATATCATGGGAATATCTTGTCAATGCAGCAGGACCTTAATTTACATTGCAGGATTACATTTAAAGCCATTTTACATGAATCATATGAATTGAAATGTTAATTCTGGTGAATAGTTGTGCCAACAAATCACATTCAGATGAGTGTGACGTGTAAGACTGATGAAAAAAGGACAAATACAATCAACTCACATTTGAAAGGAATCCAGCCAGCTGTTGTTTGGAGCTTTGGAAACCTCTTTAACAAAAACAAACAAGGGCATATCACGAATATGTCACGCTAAAAAGTAGGCACCGTTGTTGTCACTACAGCTGTTAGTCATCTCACATTTGGGTTGGAGGAGGTGGTTAATTGACTACCTCGCCTGGTATGACAGGGGTTGTGGGTTCGACCCAGACCCTGATGCCCGTATATTTGGAGTTTGCATGTTCTCCCCGTGGTCGCATGGATATTTCTCTGGTTCCTCCGGGTTTTCCATCCACATTTAGAAACAAGCATTTAGAGTATTTGGCTGCTATACATTTCCACATGATAAGCCACTTTGTTGAGCTATCATTTGCGGTCAGTTAGCTTCTAAAAAAAAGATATATAGCTCAGTGGGCCTTACTTGGTAAAATAATAAGTAATATAAAAACATGCTTTTTTAAAAACATGCCTTAATGAAATTTACCCTACTAGGAAGTGGCCCCGAAGCTTGCCATAACGTAAGGGACCATGGTGATTTACAGCCAACGTCAGTTAAGCGTGGACAATTAGATTGTCATCAGTATGACATAAGTATACCAAGTTTGCAGTCGATACCACATTGGGAAGTGGGTTAAAATTGAGTTACAAAATTTGAGGATACAACGACAAACAACAGAGTTAATAGAAAGCGTGTAAAAATAATATTTGTGTGATTTTGTTTGTACGCAATGTGAAAATTAAGCAATGACAATCCAAACAAAATATATTTTCCGTATCATACGAAATGTTGTATCTCGGTACGCTTTTTCAGGTTGATCCAAAAATCAGGAACATATTCCTAGTATGTATGTATGTGTGTGTTGGGAGTGTGTCTCTGTGCGCAAAAATCTGGGGAGTGGTAGTGCAGCGGTTAGCGCGTGTCGCTGCCAACCCAGCGACCCGAGTTTAATTCCCACTCACGGCCAATACCAGTGACAATAATATCTCAACTGGTCTTGGGCCTCTCCCCGAAATTGACTCAAATGAGTACAAGGCGCGGTGTGTAAAAGTCGCCACTGGGGAGACAAAGGTGGCCGGGCGTGGTGCTGGCCATCCACCCATCGTGTGCCGTACAGGCCTTCATCGATGCTCGCCAACAGCACTAGCGCCAACAGTCTGTTAAGGCTATACGGGCGATCTTTGTCGTTGTTGTGTGTGTACAAATACCAGCGCGCACACACCCTGTGTCTCTGAGATGAGCGGCTGTACACAGTCTGGCCGGCACTCATCCAGCCACCACAGCAGCTCCACCACGAAAACCAGCAGGTTCACCTGGGAGGAACAATGAGGCAGATGTGGGAGAGCAAATGACACTTGCCAACCACCATCATCACTGATTTAATTTGTAAAAGTGCCCCCTGCGTGCCAGACTGCTGCGGTATGGCGATAAGTGAGCTCGGTAATGAGCCAGTTAACAATTGATTCCCACGGCTTATGTGTTTTTGGGGAGTTCGCATGGGCTGAGCGGTTGTGAGTTTGCCGCTTTTTGCAAAGATTTGCGGTTCGAGCCCAGCAGCCACTCTCATTAATAGCGAGGTGTGTGCATCATACAATATGCGCCGTCTGCTTCACAGTGGATGTCCAAGACGCATTTCTAAGAGTAGGCGATTGTGTGCCGGCATCATAGCCATACATTTGGTGAATTAAAAAAATATGATAACTCGCAAATTACTTCATTGAGAAATGCGCAGCAATCGTTGTTCTCATTGGGAGGATCCTGTAAAAACTTAGTATGACCCTCCCTAGTAAGAGTCTTGAAACTCAGTGATGTTTTGTACATATGTATGTAGAACTTCTTTCACACCGTACGTAACTAACCATGTTAATCGGAGGTGTAAACAAGTGTAAGTCTAGTAAGTAATATGACAACACACCATATGATGCAAAGTAGATGTGAATGAACCTGTTGCAGCATTGTACATAAGTGTCAATGCCCACATTAAATGCCTAAATAAGTGGTTGCTTATATCTTCCCTGCAAAAGATAGGCTATAGGGATTTCACCGCTTCACCCGCCTGGATAGGTGCTCGCTAATATTACTTGCCCCAGCAGTCTATACGACTAAAAGGGACTTTCTGTCTTTGTTTTTATTTAAATATGTTTTCCGACATGTGACGACTTTATAGAAGCTATAACAAAGCAAGTTGGCACAGTAGGGAGCACATCTGCCAGTCATTCAGTCAGTTAACCTACAAGGCCTTGGGTCTGTCCCGTTACCTGACTGCCAACACTTCACGTGGTCTCAAAGTGCACTTTGCCTGGCACAAACGCTGATGGTGCTGTCCCTGCCATTGGATGGTGACTGGAGGCTGTTGTTGTTGTTGTAGTACATTACAACATACCTTGAGTGGAGGAGGCAGGTAGAGAAGGTCTCTCTCATTCAGGTGTAGACAGTCTCCCAGGTGAGCGCGCACAAAGTCAACGAGCAGTCTGGCATTGTGCAACTTGTCCTGAACGCTGAGGCCCTCCCTGAGCCTCACTTCTGTACATTCCAGTCATGGATGACAAAATAACCCAGTTATCATCCGTTAGGCTGCTGTAACAGGCGCCGTTGGGATGCACATTCAGCCCAGCATAGCACACTCGGGTTTGGGTGGGGACAGTACAAAAAACAAACATGGTCACGTCTTGCCAATACCAATGTTGACACATCACACTGAGTATTCATATTAGTCTAAGTCAATGTAAAAGATCCGGACATGGGACTGGATACCATTAGTGTGCATAGGTATGACTCAAACCTCCGGATTCAGGAGTGTACTTGAACATTTATCCACCTTTCTACAAATACGTGTGTATGTATGCATGCATGCATATGTGTACTTGCACACACGCACACACCAAATCTCCTCAATGGCATCCTTTCCCTCACTTGCTTACAAAAGACAATGACTCATGAATAGCAGACAGACTGTTTGGTGAAGTACTTTTAGTGAGCACAGATGAAGGCCGGCACAATTCATGAAGAGGTGGTATGGCCAGAAGCGCCGAATCAACCTAGGAGAGGCAGTTAACAGATTCAGATATGATATGCCACTTATTTTAGCTGTCCCTGCAAATTTAACTCGGGCACAGTGCGCTATCCACTAAACTACCACTCCCGACACACTCACGAGCAAACGCGTGTGCTGAAAAACAATGTGTGTCAAGGGGGGGGGGGTTTCTGAGACGGAGCCTGCCCACTCTGCACACCACTACCTCCAAGCAGTCACAGAGACCACAGCAGGATCCATTGCCAGGTCGAATGGGTTGATTATGAGTGAACATTGGTGTGGGTCAGCATTGCGTGCCTGAGTGCAAGAGAACGAGTAGGAGAGGACACACTGCCCCAGCAAAGTGTGAACTTTCTTGACTGTAATTGTATTTATTGTATTCCCTACCTTGTAGCGGCAGCGCACGAGGGCAGTAGAAGTGGATGCAGGACAAGAGGGCGCGGCAGTCGGTGGCATCATGCAAGCTCCTTAGGGTTGGTGGGGGGCCACGCTGTACACAGACGCATGCACATAGCCACACATATTAAACTACGGTACACTTATGCGCGTGCACACACGGACTGCGTTTTGTGGATTGGTGAATGCCCGAGTATTGCCTTGAAATAGCTGTGCCCAGACAGAACCTCAATAGGAGAAAAAACACTTTCAGACTCGGCGCAAGAAACAAGATGGATATAGCACTGCAACACAACTCTCTGCAGTGCTATTTTCATGCAGAATCTCAAGAGCTCACAAGAGTATGATAGATGTGTTTTTAAAATACACGAGGCACAAATGCCCTGTTTCACCTGCATAGGCCACAGGGTAACGGTGATGATGGTGTCTCTGTTCACACACGTTGATTGACCTTGCCTTGTTATCCGTTTATATTCTTTCAAATCTTTGACGGTTAATTGCTTCGGATCTATGAAGCGGAACGAGCTGAAATTTTCCACAGACTCGTCTCGCGTGCAAATTCCAAGATTTCATTAAAAAACCGGTCCAGGTCCTGTCGATCGTGGGCTTATGCGTGTTTTTCACGTAATTTTAATAATTAATACTCGTACATTCTACCCCCCCCCCTTTTTTGAAATCACGAATGGTTGCGTTAAGCTACGAGTGCAAGCGTCTCTTCCAATCGGAGCGGCTGTTGCTGGCCAGCCTCTGACCAATGAAAGGCGCAGTGAAATCGCCACTTGTCATGGCGCTGGAGCGGCCGCTGTGGTTCCCTCTCAGCACGAGACCAACGATTACAATAATAATTACTTCTGTTTAACACGTGGTAGCCTTTCGCGACCAATATCATCCATAAGAGTTTTTTTTGGGTTAGATCGAAGTAAATAAATGTGTCGTTAAAACCCGCCACCACCCGACACAGCCAACTAGTAAGGGTTGTCACGTAAACAGAACGTGGCCAATTCGTCACTAGTACGGCACACCGGTGTGTTGGAGAGCCAAGCCACAACATTTACAGTCTGAGAACGACGTTTCACCAGTAATTACTGGCGAAGCATCGTACATTTATATATTCACGCGATCTAACCCAAAAAGCCTCTATTAGGAATAATTGCATATATTGCTATTTTTCAAATAATTACATCGTTATAATCTTAATAAACAGTATTGCCATTTGCTTTCTCACGCCCGTTCCGACGAGCTGAGCGCAACATGGTTAAGCTCATGTTGAGTGAGCAGGTGAGAGGCCTGATCATGATTTCAAATTAAATGTCATGTTATCCCTATTTTGATTGCTAAAATGTTTTAATTTTCGTTGATATAAGTGCTTTAAATTAAAGTGCCAAATCTGTGCACTTGGAATACTGTGTTGCAATATGCACCGTTGTGCATATGCTCGCATTGTTATACCGTCTTTCGTACAGTACAGTACTTAACGATCGCAAATATAACAATTAAACGTCTTACACATAAAGTGTTGTTCTAAATGTAATTTCACTACTTTGCAATCGGGGTGATCATTATTTTAATTGTAATAGCCATTATTCGGGCTGCGTGCTATCAACCTTTCATTACGTAGGCTGTTGTATAGCAATGCACATGCTTTCATTTTTTTGTCGGGTTAAGGGTTCACATAGGCAAGCCATCATTGTCATCTCTACATGGTCATAAAAAGGTGCCACTTTGTGCAAAGTCGTCAGTGGATGTTAAAGATGCTCCTTGCCATGGGAATGTGGAATTGCCACTGGTGGAGATGACCGCCACACAATGCCCGTAGAAGCATAGCAACCTTTTGTTGATCCACTGCTGGATGAGGGCCTCCCCATGCCTTGCTGGTTGTGGAGGCCGTTTGGCCATACCTCACCCCGGCTGGTCAGTGCGGATTGGTGAAGTCGGGCAGCAAAGACGTACAGTACAACTGGATATAACCACAACGTGGCACCACAGCCCTATGACAACCTGTTTGTGCATGGTGGGTACCCATTCAGGCACTGTCCGAGCTCAAATCTGCTTGGCTTTCGAGGTCCGACCAGATTAGGCACGTTCCAAGTCCGGATGATTTGTTCATAAGCATTGAGGGTTATAGTGATGCTGTTCTTAACAGTTAACATCTCACGCTGGCAAGATGTTAACTACCTCGCCTTGTATACAGGAGGTTGTGAATTCGATGCTGATCCTGACGCCTGTATATTTATAGTTTGCATGTTCTCCCCGTGGTCAGGTCGATTTTTCTCCAGGACCACTGGTTTTTCCCTCCACAGTTAGAAACATGTGCTTCGAGTATTTTGTTGCTATAACTTTCCACATAAGCCACTTCATTGGTTTCTCATTTGTGGCCACGTCGCTTCTGAAAAACAGCAATACATCTCTAGTGGGCCTAACCTGGTAAAATTAAATAGCAGCTAAATACTCTTTTGAATAATAATGGGTGGCATCCTTTCGAAATGTAAAATTTTCTTTATGCAAGCCACCCACTTTTGTGCAGCGCGTCAAATTCTATTAATTTCTGAGGTGAAAATAATTTATTTTCTACTTTAAAGTACAAATAAAAGTGTGCGCATTTAAAAACTTGTTTTCTACGTTATTTTTGTTGTTGTTGTATTTGATGTTCTCTGGCAAAAGGGAAGGAATGCTACAAAGGAGTGTGAACTGTTTACATGTTAGAATATTCTCCAAAGTAATTTCTCATGTGCGCAGCTCTCTCAAGTGATTGCAAGGGACATCATGAATCATTACCGGAATAACTAATGCTCTTCCAGCAGTTTTATTTTTGAAGCAGAGTTTAATCCACGTTACACTTTTGGCAGACAAGGCCTTCAAAGCAAGCAGTCTGAAAATGTAAAGGAGACGTTGGTCTGCGTGTTGTATCAGCCGCATTCTGTGGTCCATTTATCCAGAAGTAAAACACAAGAGGGATTCGCCCAATAAGACTGCAAACAAAGCTAGGAATTATACTACCAAGCCACACTCGTGTTCTTATTCAGCGGCGTAATGCTATATTGATTCTGCTGCCGTGCTTAGTTAGTTACCTTAGGAGGATTGGCTTACGAGACTCGTGAGTCTCCTCATGTTAATGAAGTTTGTTTATGAATAACTGTATCCACTGTCGTCTCTGCAGCCCTTCCAGTGATCCTGGCAGCAGTGCTTTAATTAAAGAGCTGGACCATTTCCACATTGCACGTGTATATACCTAATGCGTCGACTTATCGTTTCGTTGGTCACGTTATTGCATGGATTTTTACGGCCGTGTTGCGTCGTTGTCCACAATGTGTTTTCGGGTTGCACTGCGTGTTTCCCGGCACGATGTACGGCACTCCGCTCCCATTGCTGGGAGCACCTTCAGGTCAAGTCCTGAAAAATCTCCCAAGCGCGCAGAGAAAATCGCCGGACATCATGTCGAACAACACGCGGGGTAAAACCCGAAAACACATTGGAGAGTTAGTGATTTTCATATGAAAATCTCACTAAACTGCTCATACATCAATGGTCCTGTGAAATGTTGCTGCGTAATGTACATATGTATGCTGAACTTCTTACACGCGCCATACGTAGCCAACCGTGCTAATCGGAGGTGTGCCAACACGTTACCTGTGTGCGCTTGTGCGATGCGAGGTCTGCTTGCTTGCCGTCCTTCTGCTGTACGTCCCACAACCTGACGTTAACCTGAAACAATGTCACACACGTAACACAGTGTCTTACAGACTGTGGGGACAAATGCTGTTAGCGAGTAACTATTAAGGCCATCATTGCGCATGAGGGGGTGATATGGTCAACACCAGCGGTGGTCCCCAACCTTTTGGCACCAGGGACCGGTTTCATGGAAGAACATTTTTTCACGGACTGGGGTGGGGGGGGGTTCATCATTGGGTCTTTCCCCCTTTTCAAAGAAGCTCTCCAGCGACGTTTGTTTTTTACTCATTTTGGCTAGGGTTAGCTTGTTGGCTTACCAAAACTGACTGAGACAAGTGCGCAGTGCGGAAAAGTAGGGTTCGGGCTCCTATGAGAATCTAATGCCGCCGCCGATCTGACAGGAGGCGGTGCTCAGACGGTAATGCGAGCGATGGGGAGCGGCTGTAAATACAGATGAAGCTTCGCTCGCTCGCCCACCGCTCACCTCCTGCTGTGCGGCCCCGGTTCCGAACAGGCCACGGAGCGGTACCGGTCCGCGGCCCGGGGGTTGGGGACCCCTGGTCAACACCATGCCTGGGTGCCATTATCTCACCAATGCCAATGTTAATACACCAGGTACTTAGAGGCCGAGTTGACCAAAGGAAGGCCCAGGATTGGTTCAGATATTATTCGGTAATGACATTAGCTATAGCCAGGAATCGAACTCAGTGTAGTCAGCTAACCACTGTGCGACCACTATGCACGTCAAAGTTCCTCATTCTTCTGTTGTGCATGTGCAATTATCGAAAAGCCATGGTGTCATAACATAGCCGTGGTGGAGATGATGCTTGGCTGCCTTCATGTCATCAGTTGTTGTTATGTGTGGAGTTGAACCTCAGTGTCAGTACTGGAACAGAAAGTGTACGGAACTCTCTCCCCAACACATACAGAAATATACACGCAAACACACTCGCACACCAGGATGTAGATTCCGTTTGAACTAATAGACTAAAGGGGGAAGGTGCTGTAATGGGAAACTTATAAAGCTGGAATGGTACACTGAGGTTGTGCAGCCAACACCTTAACGGGCTATCTTTATCTTTCAAGTGCTGATGTTTATACACCCCAAGGAGATATTTTATGGAAGACCTAGGACAGGTCGATGCCCACCGCTTTCCAAAGATGTTATCCGTGGTTGAAAATCAAACACAGATCACGATTTCTAGCTTTGTATAGAATGCAAACCAATTCAACAACCTCCCTGATAAAATAAAAACCCACAAAGATCTCTCCTGTAACCTTCAACAGACTGTTGGGACAAGTGCAGTTAGCGAGCAGCGCCTACAAAGGCCAGCACGACACACGAGAGGGTAGGCGGCCAACCCTAAGCCCGGCCCACCTTTGTCTCCTCAGTGCTGATAATCACTGGTGTTGGCCATGAGCGGTAATCGAACTCGGGCCTACAGGTTCGTAGCGCAGCATGCTAACCACGACATTATCGCCCACATTAATACATACAAGCGCACAAAAAAAGATAAGCGTGCCCTGTTTAGATTTAAGAGGATAGGCTGTTACTGGGCTGTTAATGTGCACCTACTAAAGCTGGCACAACACAGTGGGTGTGGCCAGGGCTATATCTGTCTGTCTGACTTTCCACTGCTGACGTTAATTAAACTTATCTTATAAATAAAAGTCTCCGTGCGCACGCTTGCGAGGGAGTTGGCTCTCGAACGGTGGGCTTTATGTAGGTAAAAATTTGCCAGGCAGGACGCCCTATGCCCCGCGCTCGGAATAGGCTATTCCGTTTTCTCATACATATACTATAAACTTTAAAGTAGTTTAATTAACAAATCCGTGGGATTCTTATTTTAATTTTTACTTATTTCGCGACATCGACCGTACCAACTGACGACAATTGCCTGGGGAGGGGGGGGGGGCGGACCCTGCCAAGTGATGCGCGTTCGGTCGACCTCACGGGGGACATTTTATTTTGAGTGTTTCACAAGCAATAAATATGCACATAACGCTGCGGATTTTTCTTCAAGTCTCATGTCCTCTTCGCCCCCAACCCCCCCAACACGATGCGTGTAGTTACTGCTATAAAGTCCTTTGATATTAATAGTATTAAACCGCTTACATAGTATTATATATTCTAAGCTCTTTCGGTAAAGTCACGTTGAAGGGAAACAACAAAAGAATAAAATATATATAAAACAATAAAAATTCTCACGACGTTTCGACCATAACACAAACGGTCGTCATCAGGTGTGTCGGTTTGCATAAATTTATTTATTTTTAAACGGTGTATTTGTTTATTTATTTATAAGAAACGTCAGCGCCACGCGCAGCGATTTGGCAGTTTATTTAGAAGGACTAGTCCATCTATGTTCTGAAAATAGGAGGGGGGAGACGAAAAATTAATGCATGCTGTCTGAAAGCCACCGTAAGCGTGAACAATCAATTAAGACCTGAAATGGTTTATCAAATCTTTCCAATGGTATTATTATGGCTCGGGCGGGGGGATGGTGGGGGGGGGTAGCGGCCCAGCCAGCAGCCTGGCAATGTCTCACCTCCGGCTTGCCAATCTAGGCGAGGCCGTGGGCTCTGCACGGGACCAGGCGTCACCACGCCAATTTAAAGTACAATTTTATTGAATCTCGATTTAAAGCTTTCATGACTGAAGCTCTGTCGTCCCGACAGGTCTGTACCTTTCGCCTCAAGACGGCCGCTTGCGTTGTGGCCGAAACGTCGTGAGAATTTTATTGTGTTATTTTATTATTTTATTCTCATTCTACGTGACTTTACCGAAAGAACCAAAGAAGATTTATTGAATCTTTCGCTAAGAACTCAGGACTATTGTTTACTATTATTAAACAAATGAGTTTTCAAATATTACAAACATGTTTGTGTGCAGATAACAACTCTGCTTCATTGTATACTATTATGAAACTAATAAGTTGCCTAATATTACAATTATTATGTTTGTGTGCAGAAAACTAAATTTTCATTTTTAGGTTGCTAACTTTTGCCTTTTTTAGTGCGTTTTAATGACTCTGCGACGGTGTACTGCAAGTCTGTGCTGTGGACTGCTGCCTGCCGATTCATTAACGTCAGTGCACTGGCACTGTCTACACTGTTAATTTTGCTTTTGCCCATTATGAGTGTATGCCAGTCTATAATCTGTTGCCTGCTTCTTTACCTCACTAACTGTACTGCCAGCCTTACATGTCGACTGTATTCTGCTTTTTTCAGCTGCTGCCCGTATTGCCAGCTTTTTTATGTCCACTGTAGAAATGCTTCTGTCATTGAGTTGGCGAACTGGCACTCGATCATCTACACTGTAGCTTGCTTCTCAACTTACCTGTGCGTACTGCTGCTATTTTATGTGCACTCTTTTCAGCTTATTTCTTCTATGCATTTATATTGTGTCGATTGCTCACGTCCCGCTATTTACTAATACGTAGTACTGCGACGCTGATAGCTGTGCCATCATCGGAGATTGCTGTGCACGTCCATGTGTGTGTGTAAGTTGATGTGTGTGTTTCAGTCCATATGTGTGTGCGTGTAGGTCCATGCGTCTGTGTGTCCATGTATGTGTATCAGTCGCTGTGTATGTGTTAGTCGATGTGTGTGCATGGCTCCATGTCAATGTGTAAGTCAATGTGCGTTTGTGTGTCTATGTGTGTCAGTCAATGTGTGTGTGTACATCCATGTGTATGTGTGTGTCAGTCCATATGTGTTTAAGTCTACACATGTGTGCGTGTCACTCGATGTGTGTGTGTAAGTCAATGTGTGTGAGTTGATACGCGTGTGTATGTGTCAGTCCATGTGCGTGTGTGTTAGTCGCTGTGTGTGCATGGCTCCATGTTAGTCAGTGTAAGTCCATTTCTTCGCGTGCCTGTAGGTCCATGTGTGCGTATTAGTCCATGTGTGTGCTTTATTGACCTGCTCAAGGCCTATCATACCATTAGTAGGCCTGGGCTCTGGGTTGCTCTTTGTGCTTTCGGAGTCCCTGACCCTCTGCTCACGATCCTTAAGGACCTTCATGATGGTGAGCGGCCCCACGTCAAACTACGTGCCTGTGAGTCAGAGCCATTCCCTCTACACCTTAGGGTGTGACAGGGATGTGCTCTGCCTCCCACATTCTTTTACATATATTTGGACCACTTAGTTCGTTAAGCCTTCAATGCCTGTACCGGAATAATTCCCATCTGGTACTGATACCAAGGGAGGCAGATCGATGCCCGGGTGCGGTCAAGGGTTCGCTCCCGATTGGTCAACCACATTATGTATGTTTAACACGTAGGCTTTCACGACCAATATTACTCATAATAAAGTTTTTTGGGTTAGATCGCGTTATTTATAAATGTGTAGTAACCCTACACCACCCGGCATGGCCAATCAGCAAAAAAGTGTCACGTTGACAAAAGACAAATAGTTCACTACTTTAGCCCACCGGTGTGTTGAAGAGTGAATCCACAACATGATCTGGTAATTAATGCTCACTCAGAAGAGGAGTTGGATGCGCTGCTGAACCCAGAAGAGGAGTTGGATGCGCTGCTGAACCCAAGATTTGACGGTACATTGCCCCGTCCATCGTCCCTTTGATGCAGTGAAGTTGTCCTGTCCCTTTCGCAGAAAAACACCCCCAAAGCATAATGTTTCCACCTCCATGTTTGACGGTGGGGATGGTGTTCTTGGGGTCATAGGCAGCATTCCTCCTCCTCCAAAAATGGCGAGTTGAGTTGATGCCAAAGAGCTCCATTTTGGTCTCATCTGACCACAACACTTTCACCCAGTTGTCCTCCGAATCATTCAGATGTTCATTGGCAAACTTCAGACGGGCATGTATATGTGCTTTCTTGAGCAGGGGGACCTTGCGGGCGCTGCAGAATTTCAGTCCTTCACGGCGTAGTATGTTACCAATTGTTTTCTTGGTGACTATGGTCCCAGCTGCCTTGAGATCATTGACCAGATCCTCCCGTGTAGTTCTGGGCTGATTCCTCACCGTTCTCATGATCATTGCAACTCCACGAGGTGAAATCTTACATGGAGTCCCAGGCCGAGTGAGATTGACAGTTATTTTATGTTTCTTCAATTTGCGAACAATCGCACCAACTGTTGTTACCTTCTCACCAAGCTGCTTGGCAATGGTCTTGTAGCCCATTCCAGCCTTGTGTAGGTCTACAATCTTGTCCCTGACATCCTTGGAGAGCTCTTTGGTCTTGACTATGGTGGAGAGTTTGGAATCTGATTGATTGATTGCTTCTGTGGACAGGTGTCTTTTATACAGGCAACAAGCTGAGATTAGGAGCACTCCCTTTAAGAGTGTGCTCCTAATCTCAGCTTGTTGCCTGTATAAAAGACACCTGGGAACCAGAAATCTTTCTGATTGAGAGGGGGTCAAATACTTATTTATCTCATTAAAATGCAAATCGATTTATAACATTTTTGACATGCGTTTTTCTGGATTTTTTGGTTGTTATTCTGTCTCTCACTGTTCAAATAAACCCACCATTAAAATTATAGACTGATCATTTCTTTGTCAGTGGGCAAACGTACAAAATCAGCAAGGGATCAAATACTTTTTTCCCTCACTGTACAAAAAGACAAATACACCAGCATGCATGCATGTGTAATGACAGTACGCCATCTGGTGGCCATGGGGTATGGGTGCGGTATAGAACGACACATGCAAGCGACCACAAGGGGGGCGTAACTGGGCCAAGGGTCAAAGAGGGGATCGAACTAGAAGCTCCTGGAACACGCGAGAGAGCTCCAGAAGAGGGGCGTGGCCAAGGGCGGGACGTGGCCAAGGGTGGGGCCTGGCCTCGCTGGGTGAATAAAAGGGAGAGGCAAACGGGGCATTCGGGGCTGTCGTGGGGGTTCGAACTCAGGTTGATAGGTTTGTAGCGCAGTGGGTGAACCACTGTGATACCGCTCACACCAATCATCCACATACATTTATCCTGATGGTATTAATCACGTATACGTTATAAATATATGCATCGATTGTTTACTAAAAAAAAATCATTCCGAGGTATATTGCTGTTCTTTTTCTGCATGCAACTCAAATTTTTCAAGGAATGAGCGACCAAAAATGTTTTATCACACACCACCACACACACAAGAGTGCGAATACACGGCTGCATAAATCTATCATTCTACCGGCCAGGCAATGCACCTATAACCCCCGCGTCTCTGCAAAATGCCCCACTCTAACTTGGTAAGCATTTCCCATTCATCTCTCGTTCCTCTGCAAGCGTTTCATTAACAAAACCATAAAAGAGCTCCGAATGATAAGGGATTAATAGAATGATAAAAAATGATTTCCATCCCGCGCAGCCATTTGCTTCACACGTCTAGTCGGAACAACTCGCGATATAATTTCGAGTACATTTATCTCCGTATCACTCTTGCCTATGTGCTTCAACAGATATCACCGAGTGCCTAGGATGATACCTTTATTTTTAAAGTGCCAATTGAAACTGTGCAGCACTTGCAGGCAGCCAACAGCAATGACCTCTCCTCTCGTGACAAAGAATTACCTCCTCACTTCCCTTGAGTACATTCCATTACACAATTTGAGGTCAAATAAAAAAAATAAACCTCCATTGCACAGCCTATCCTTCAAAGTTCGAGCAGCTTAGGGTCCACGAAGAATATTAAATCTGTCGTGCAAGCATGCGACTTTTGTTCAGTTGTGCGTGCGTGTCTGTCGTATTTCGGTATTAGATTTCGCAATGTAGGTGGGATGTTAACTCAAGGGTGAAATTATCATAAACTGCACCTAGCCTGGCAAAAGTGGTGAATTGAGGCTGCTGCATGGTTACTACTACTACTACTAGCTGCCCGTCAAATCGACGATGGCTTGGAGTTAATTTCTGAATCCCTTGTTTACTTATTATTTTAAAATGTATTGTCTTTGATGCAGGAGCATTCATGGCTAAGCAAACCGATCCTTCTGACACAGATCCTTCTGCAGTAACTGCCGGGGGTAAGCAGACAAGTGGTCTTCGTCCCACGCAGCGCACCATTGTATGATTGCGTAGGTGTGAATTTAGTGTGCGAGCGCGTGTGTACGTGAATCTGTGTGTGCGTGTACGTACGTTAAGAATGTATTCATGTCTTTGTGTGCATGCGCATGTATGTGTATGCCTATGAACGTGTGAGTGTTTTAATGAATGTGGCGGATCTGCATTGCGCTGTTAGTTTTGTGCGCGTATGAATACGGGCGAGCGTCCACGCGCATGGATCTGAGCGTGTGCACACGCATGTGAATGAGTGTGTAAGTGTATATTTGAATGCACTCGTGCGTGTGTGAGCGTATATGTGCACATTTTTTACGTATTCATGCAGGCATGTGAATGTATATACGTTTGCATACATCCGTGTGTATGCGCATGTACATGTGTGCTAGTGTGTGCATCTGAATGCATTCCCATGTATTCACGTAAAAATGCGTGCATATGTACAAATGCGTTCTTTGTGCCTGCGAGTGAACGCGTGTACTTGCATGTGTGCGGGGAGCGGTAGTGTAGTGGTTAGAGCATTGTGCTGCAAACCCGGTGACCAGAATTTTATTCCTGCTCACGGCCAGCACCAGTGACGTTTATTTGTACTGGTCCTGGGTCTCCCCCTAGCCTCAAATGAATAGCTGGTAGGGTGTATAAACATCACCACTAGGGAGACAAAGGCGACCGGGTGAATTTGCTGCCCACCCACTGCCGCCTGTGCCACACCAACCTTCATTAGGTGCTCGCCCAAAGCAATTGCCGCAAAAAAAATCTGCCGAGGCTACATGGGGCATCTTTGTCTTTGTGCGCGTTTGCGTGTCACCTCATTGACCCACTGCAGGATGGACATCTCTGCGTTGCCGTAGGCTGCCGCGGGTGAGCGCGACCCCGCGGTGACGCCGACGCGCTGCAGGCTCGCTGTGACTCTGTCGCCACCCAGCTGCTGAGTGCAGTAAGCCTGCATGATGGAGTCGGCCAGCGCGAGGTGGGAACTCTGGTGGCAGCAGAGGGGAATAGAACCGAGTTCAGGCGCTGGATGGCAGTGCACAGCCACACAACATATGGCAGACGCATGCCGGCGATGAGTAACTGGAGGAAGTTAATCACGAATCGGGGCGACAGACGCTTAATCGTAATTTCATCCTCAGTCACCGATTCAACATCATCTTCATCGCCATTATGTGTAAAGTTTGCAATTTCCTGTAAAATGAGACAGTTATGAATTATAACATGGAAACAAGAGCTAAAAGATAATTAAAGTAATAATGCCACAAAACATGATCGATCTGTAATAAATTGTTGTCACTATTATCACCTTTATGGACGCTCATCAAAAAAATATAATCCATCAGTACCGTAAGTTAATATAATTAATTACGAACATCATCTACGTCGGTTTTTGTGGTTGTGCTGTAGAGCCCTGCAATGTGTTTTTGGGTTGTACCGTGCATTGTGTGTGCTTAGCATCATTTCAAACACTTCACACCACACGCTGGGTGCTTTTACAGGAACTGAGCATCAAGCTAAACAGCACATGGTACTATCCAAAAACCCTTTAGACATCAACATTATCAGTAAGAAATCACCATTCGCAAAGTCACAGCTATCGTCACCATCATCATCATCATCAACGTGGAAAGCCCCGCCATGTGTCAGTGCGCACACTATAAACTGCAATTCAAGTGCCACTATTGTTGAGTGCCTATTCTTCAGAAAACACTGCACACAGCACAGTGTAAGAGACACCAAAGCTCAGCTATCCATCTACCTGTGAGCGACGATTAACCCGCTTGTGCAAGCGTGCCGGTTTTTGAGCTGTGCCAATTAGACGATTCATTATCCAGAAACAACTAGAACTCACCCACTCACAGGCTCTCGCAAGCAGACAATTTGTAACACAAAAGTTTCCCCATTTAGCTCGGTCGAACGTATGGTCTGCGATTCTGGAGTAAGCCTAAGGCTGTGGTGCATGACATGGTACACAATGGGTGTGGTGTTGACAGCTACGTTGGCTTTATGTCCCTCCAGTGCTCATGCTCACTCGACATCTCAGCGAACATTTAAGGTGACGCGAGTCCTCCTAAAAGAGGCCCGGGGCTGGCAGAGATAACTATCATCGTGAAAGAACATGATGAGGAATCGTTAAACACCGGTTTAATGGATATGCAAAACAATGTTTATCGACAAATATGTATTTGTGGTGAAGCACATACAAAACACACTTTGGGAGCATCCAAAAGAATGGTTCCAATATTAACATCCCCACATAAAATGGAAAACTCTAAAATTAATGCCTCCCCCCAAACTTCCCCTGTACGTCGTGCAATATATCAACCCGCGTTCAGTAGCAGCACTAATGAGGCCGTGTTCCGCGCTAACAATTAACTGTGGAACGCATCATGTTCTGTAGGGGAAGTGAATTCTTCATTACATTAAAAGCTCCATCGGATTTTTTTCCGCTGCTGGTGCGTGTGAGTGTGGAATTATGCGTGCGTGGAAAGGGGTGAACTGCACGGTGACGCAATGTGCAGATGACTGTCCTGGGTGTGGTGCATGTCCTCCTGCGAGTACGGATCAAACCGACTGTAATCAGTGTAAGTGCCGTGTGTGTGTGTGCGCGTGTGTGTGTAAGTACGCATGTCTGAAGTACTGAAAGCAGTGACCGAGGTTTAAGCCCCATTTAATAAAACGGAGTTAGATTCCTGTCCACAAACAAAACCACTGACAATAGCTCCGTGTTCCAGAAGTGCCCCCTTTTGAGGTTAAATCAGCCTAAAATCATAACCTGTCACACAATGATGATCATCGTAGTTTATTTCACCATGCTTCCTATCCGTGCAGTGCAGGTTGGAAAATTGTGCCTCGGACAAGTTCATATATCATTTATCGCTAAGGTTCATTGCACAGTGCGCTAAGCACTTAGCAAATTAAAGTATTGTCAATTATCCCACGTGACTCACACAGGGTGAGGAGGACTTCATCCTACAAGGGATTGGCAAACAGGCTGTACATGGATATATATATTTGGTATTCTCCACATTAGCACTGCAAAGATAACAATGGCTTGGAAGTGTGGTACTGGTCACGTCACTCTTTCGTGTGTCACATTGTATGTATGTATACGTGTTGAACTTCTTTGGCATCGTACGTAGCCAACCTTGCTAATTGGAGTATACAGGGGGGAAGGGACAACAAACTAAACACACAAAGCGGTTCTAAAGAAATGAGTTTTCAATATGGATTTAAAAGTGCATAGCTCCAGTGGCTTTCTAATGTCGGAGGAAGAGTGTTCAAGACGACCGTAGACGTGCATCTGACTGTGCGCGCGATGCAGTGACCGCCTTTGTTCGATTGGTAGTCAAAAGCCGCTGCGAGGATAACCGGAGTTTGCCTGGTGGTTTGTGATCCTTGATGAAATCAGAAAGGCATTGTGTTTCATTTATGGCAAGCACTCTGCGTGTAATGAGTGCGACTTTATAATGTTCCGCAACCAGAAACCAATGCGGCTTTAGCGAGCACTGGATGGACATGGCGGGATTTTGCAGTACCCGACACGACATGTGCCAAAGGATTGTCCATTGGCCTTAAGAGTTGCTCACTAAGCATCACTTACTAGTGGTAGTCCAACGCTACATGTGTAATCTGTATTGCGGTAACGGGCAAGGTGATTGCACAAGTATAACTAAATGCCTGTGAAAGGCATGCATGCGGACATTGTTGTGGGAAAGATATAATGAATGATGACATTCAGATACGTTTTTCTTTAGACACAATATAATCGTAATGTTCCTAAAGACATGGTTGTGTTGTGGTTATTGCAAACATGATCCCTTTTATAAAGGTGTCAGTTTTTGTGCCAGATAAAAGGGTAAAAACCTATGACTATATCTTGCTACTGGCAAAGGAGGTCTCATAGTGTAGTTCCTAAAGACATGCTAGTATTTACACTCAACGCATTATTTTAAGTACTCAATAGTATGATCATACTTTAATTATCCAGCATCTAGAACTTTGAAACTCTAGTGCGATTAAAAGTGTGTCATGTTTATTATTCAGGGCGTGACTGCTGCCTTACTCTGTGATGTTTAATAATTAGAGGCTTCTGCTGTGACGTTGCACAAAACTCCATTTACAATAATATACTTTTCTGCATTAACTTACATTTTGTAAGGGGAAACCTTGTGTCATTAATACACAAAACCGGGGGAAATGTGCATGTAGTCAGAGGATGTGTGCATATATATGCATGTATAAGACAATGTTAATGTGCATGAGTTTGTTTTGGTGCATTTGGTCCCTGAGTCTGTATTTGAAGGTGTATGCTCATACATATCCATGTACAAGTTCAGCCCTTTCATCAATCCAATACTGGATGAGGGCCTTGCCACGCCCTGTACGTCCTGGGGGTTAATACACTATACTTCACCATGGTAGTCAGTGAAGGTGGGGAGCATATAAATGGGAGCAGAGAAGTACGGTACAACATTGTTTTTTTTTCTGCACTGCCCTCTGCTGCCCGCAACATAGCCTGCAGAAGCCTACAATACCTGCTCTACGAATGGTGATCGCCCCCAACCAAGGACTAACCTAGGCTCAACCTTGCTATTCAGGGTGATTTGGTCACAGGCATTCATAACAACTTGTAAGTGCGTGCATACCACATATGGGTTGGTGCACTACTCCACTATCTGGGTGACACAAGTTAAATTGCTGGCATTGCACAACATCAACAGCACATACTTTCCATCTGCACCGAGTCTCCCCTACATTTAATACACCTAAATGAGGCAAAGGTAGCTGGGCCTACAGTGCGTTGGCCGCACCACCAGTGCATTATGCGCTCAGCCTGCCTTAACGGATGCTCGCTAAAAGCACTTGAACTAAACGGCTGCGGAACTTTGTTTGTGTTTTATCCGCATGCGTATTAGAAGGCGCGCATGGGAGTGGGCGTGTGCGTGCACTCTTGTGTGTGTGTCGAGATCTGGTTCTGCCGGTAAGAGTCCGTATCATGCCAAAGGGCACACACACCATGACACCCTTCACATATCACAACTCATCGCGCTGTGGCCGGTGACTGGCGGAGATGGCACTGTGGTAGTGACAAAGCTGAACGGTAGTGTGTGTTCGCCGCTTGTTGTAGAGGTTCACGGTTCAAGTCCAGCAATCGCACTGGATAGTACTCTGTATGTATTATCCATATGACAGGTGGCATTTGCTTTATAGTGGACGTTAAAGATCCCGTGACATAATTCGAGTAGGCCACGTGTGCCGGCATCACGGTCAAAAATTGCCGAATTTTGAATGCCACATAGCAATATCACTCCTAGTGGAGGTGATGTTCGCACCTCCGATTAGTACGGTGGGCTACGTATGGTGCGAAAGAAGTTCAATATACATATATACATAAATAGTGGCAACCTAATACCCACTTGCAGGCCGGTGCTGTGTTCACCCTGTGCTGCACAGGGACAACTGCCACCAGAGGTCCTCCTTGACTAGACTGCTGCAGGGAACTGAGATGTATTGTATGGAGGCGCGGTATAAATGAGGTGGTGATGATGATGATGGGCGCGTAATTGACTTACCATGCGCAGTGGCATCTGGAGGAGATCAGACGCTGTCACCGGGTAGTCGCCCTCCTCGGTCACATACAAGCCTCGCCTGGACAAGGCCTGAATGACAGGCCAGTGGCCTGGGGATGTATTGTACCCTAACATCTGTGTTCACACACAAACACAGACAACACACAAGTCAATGACCTCCCATGTAGCTATACAGACTGTTAAGTGCTATTAGAAGGGTGGAATGGCGCATCGGGATATCGTGTAGCCAGAATCATGCCTGGGCACCTTTGTTTCCCCTGTGCCAATGTTTACACACCACACTAAGTACTAATTTAAGGCTGAGTCAACCAAGGGGATGCCCAAGACCGGTTCATAAATTCACCACTGACATTATCCGTGGTGGACAATCGAACTCAGGATGCCGGTTTAGTATAACAGCGCACTAATCACGACACTTATGGTATTCGCACAAATACACACAGTCCAATGCACATGCTGGCAAGTCCATCCACATGCCCTCACATGGGTTAGGATTAAGAGATTAAGCATTAGGTCACACTTACATTAAGTGAATGCTTTCAAAGCTTGCTTTTACTGCAGGAACATGAATGTTCCCACAGGAGGAGAGGGAAATACATTACAAAGCAACAATATCGTTTTTTTGTTGTTGATCGAAGGTATTTTTTTTTATAACTTGCACAATAAAATCTCTATGGTTAATGATGCCGTTATAATTCACATGTTCCTTCAGGTCTGAATAAGCAACTAACCCAGAAGATGCCATTCCATTATGTGGCGATATACATGTACACAAAGAGCCCTTTTGTCAATCCACTGCTGGATGAGTGCCTCCCCACGCCGTGCATGTTTTATGTGATCATAATTCACCACGCCCGTTCGTGCGGGTTGGTGAAGGTGAGGAGCATAGATAAAGAAGCATAGCAGTGCAGTATAATAGTGAATATTGGCACACTACCCTTTAATGTGGACCACATGTGGCTCGATGATTAAGGCAAATGTTTGAAATCATTTTGATTGCTGGGAACTCAGATTCACATGTAGGCCAATATGTGCCTTTGTTGGCAGAACTTGGCAAAAACCTGCCAATGTCTCCATTGGAAACAGTGAGACAAAGCGCCATGGTGACCTGTTTTCAGCAAATTTGGCCTGAGGCCTATCCAATTAAACATATGGAAATGAGAACAACAATGTAATGCAGCCCGTAGACCCATTGTCTGCTGCAGGTTCTGAGTGCTGACTGATCAAGTACACCACCATCGCCGACAGCAGGGAGACCTATCATTCTTTAACCCGTTGCCATGCATTCCAGCGACCGTCACAGCTCGAATGCAGTCCCAGTCTGGCTCCCTCTTGAAAACTAGGACATCTACAAAACGACAAGGTCTGACACAAGGACAAACCTTGACCTATTTATATGAAAAAAATGGAATGCCACTAAATTGAAAATAATGGCTTAAACGGCACTGCTATCAATGGGTGATACATTTTTTTTTTAAAACAGGCAAACACGTTCAAGCGAAATGCTCACATGACTGTACTTGTCCCCCGAGGCCAGAAAGCAATCAACACGAAGAACACTCACGTGTGCACTCAAGACACGTACATACACATGCACGCATGCACGCACACCCAGTCTCTACGTGACAGTTAACACCCCCTGCTAAGCTCAACAATTGGAGCATGCACTCGCCACTCACCACACGTGAACACACTCGGCTGTACACGTCCCCCGAGGTCAAAAGACGTTCAACGGAGGTCTTCAGCCTCCCATCGTCCCCGTAGGGGTCTTTCAGGTCCACCGAGATGAGATCTGGCGGGTGTAGACAAGGTAGCAGAATCTTTGTAAATGCAATACAACACCCATGGACAGGTGATTACGATGCCACGACGCATCTGGTGTACACACCTGCTGTAGATGGTCAACTGGTGAAACGATAGCACTGTGGTAATGTTACAATGTTTGCGATGGAAATGCTTCACACCTTTTTGGTGTGCAAACAACGCAATGTGTGTAACACACGTTGCCATGAGCAGAAGTATGCTTTGGGACCGGCACAGTAAGCTGTCAAAATAAAAATGTTTTTTTTTTGTGTGAATAACACATCTACAGGCCTCCCGAGTCTACTGTTGAGAGAAGGCCTTCACCATGTCTTGTCGGTCGGGGGGGTGGCCAGATTCACAGCACACTGCGCTAACCCCACGTCACTAGAAGTATGGCCAAACAACAGAGACCGTCATCTGGCATGGATGAACAAAGGGCTGTAAAATAAAATGGAATATATTAACATATTTTACAGGAACACATTATTACCACGTGTGCCTTGCTTGTAATCCTGTACTTTAACCAGCCCATTGATTCTAGGCTGAGAAGTAGATGTATTTAATTGATTTGTAAAGCCAAATAGAATTTTACTGCGTAGCATTCAGTCACCAATGGCTCCACAAAAAGCTTAATTCCATGAAATTTGTTAGAAATGCAATTCGATAGAATGTAGCTCGCAACAAACACATTTGATGGCCTGATATTAAATTATGACTCTTTACATGCTATGTATGTGCAGTGTCTGTTGAGAAAGGCCGAATAAACTGACTCGAGAGCGGATTTGTGGCGTAATATTTCATGGGTCGTTCACCGATGTGACGCTGTACTGACTACAGAGGTTCTGGAAGGATGTTTCTTCAGCTCATAACATGACACCGAAGGTGCAAATGTGATATCATTAGGTGTTAAATAATTTAAATAAATAAAATATTCAACCAAGCGGCAAGTATGCATCAGGTGGGGCATTAAAGCGAAATTCTTTGTTGAAGTCCCTTTCCACATGACGAGATAATTCAAATAACCCTGAATATAATGATCAAAAGCTTTACGCGGTTACAACATTACACAGACGGTATTAACATAAATCAGTAACACTAAGATGGCACACCCCACCAACCAAGTGCATTTGTTAAAAGCAGCACAGCAGTAAGCCTGGTGACATGTGACGGGCTTAAAATTCATTCGCTTTGGGGTATTTAATAAAACGTACATGGCAGCTGGGCAAAAATTTAATTCAGCCATGGCTCGCTTTCTGCTTATCATCCCGCACATTCTGTGCCTCCATCAGCAAATGCACATTTCTTTTCTTCCCCCTTTAAAAATTTACACCACACTGCATTACCGCAGGCACCAAGACAAAAAAAAAATATATAGTCACGCTCAGTGACTTGTACTAGGCACACGTTCAGTTGAGTCTGCCAGAACGGATCCAGTCAAGTTAAACATGGGAAATAGAGCCTAATGCAGAAGTCGATGTGTCGGCGAAACTCCGAACAGAAATTACGAGGATACCAACATGCCCCTGGCAAACAAGTAAAGTCTAAAGTAAAAACAATTACTGTGGTAATTTCCTTATAAAATAATAAATCACGACTACACAATTAAGTTGTTGTCAACCATGGGTGTTAAATCATTAACTTGCTTAATTGCATATGCTGCAATAAGATAAATTATTCATTAAACAAGCCAGGATGAAAGTTTGCAACAAATAATTTATTAACCATTTATTTAGTGGCAATTATATATACTCCCAAATTTATACTTTCAACATTATTTTCAAATATATTACTACATTTTTGGAATTATTGTAAGAAGATTTTTCTTTAAGATAAAACACACATTTGTGCTATTATCTAGGGTTTCAATAACAGACCTTCATGTCTTTGTAAGGCGCCTAGCTCCGACTGACCGTGCATTTCAAATTCTCAGGGTTATTCATACAGGCAGGAGGAATTCAACCACAAGAGGAAAGTTCAGCACGAGCATCAACTATTAATCAAGACAACATGAAATTAAATAATGTGCATTTACCAATGTTGAGGAAGCACATGGTCTTTATAAGGAGCAACTCAGACAAAAAAAAGGGATTGAAAAAATATTACCCAGCTGGAAAATTGGCACCGAAAATGTCCCTTTCATTTAAAATCTGAGTTTTATGCAAGCTAAATTTACTGAGGATCCCGCTTTAAAGAGTCACATTAAATACCCAATTTGGCTTCTGAGATAGGGACGTGTGGAATTTTACAGCCCATGTGCACACAATTTAATCGCCGAGTGGAATTTCTATAATTCTAAGCTGAGACAACTGACCAAAACACGAAATAGAAAAGGTTTCCTTTACTTAATGTTTAGCGTTTAATTCAGCATAACATTTTTTTCAAATAAAAAGGTTTAGCAGCAAGCTCTATATAAAACACTAGCTGGACTACCCGGCTTCGCCCGGGACTTAGATTCTTGTCTGGGATTAATACACGGCCTACGCGGAGGGTTGGGGGGGGGGATGCGTGACGTCAGCAGGCACACTGCGTGACGCTGCCGCATGCGGGTGACATCACAGATGTGATCACAGATGTGATGTCACCGCCACTTGCTGTGCAAAATATATCCATTATTACGCACTCCCCCGCCCCCCCAAAATACAAAAGTCTATTTTTTTGACTTTTTGCATTGTTTACAGTCTGGAAGCTACCCACATGCCAAATGAAAAGTTTGTTGCATGTTGGGAAGTATTCTAAACATTTCGAACAGACACATTCACAAATTTCCCTTTTATATGTATATAGATTACATGACGATTAACTCCTGTGTACTCCTTTTGCCCAACTTCAGTATGTTTTTACACCTAGTTTACTGGATTGTTATGGATTGAAAAACAAATATTATGTAGTCAATTGGCAAATCTCAAGTTTCAAGTATGAGGCAACCAAGTTAATCTTACGATGACAATCTCGCCACCACGGGCGTCAGGTGGACAGATGTTCAATACTTCGCCTGATATGCAGGTCTTGGGTTCAATCCCAACCCTGACGCTCGTATATTTTGAGTTTGCATGTTGATTGCATGGTTTTTTTCTCCGGGTCCTCCGGTTTTTCCCTCACATTTAGAAACATGTTTTTAGAGTATTTGACTGCTTTTAATTTCAAATTGATAAGCAACTTTGTTGAGCTACCATTTGTAGTCATGTTCCTTCTAAAAAGAGCTATATAGCATGTGCCTTACCTTGTAAAATAAAAAAAAAAACGGCAAATAGTTTAGTTCATAGATTACAGACATATGATCAAATGTGCTGTACTACTTCAGACCTTTTGGCAGCTACATAAACTGGAGCTAAGAAAATGTACTTAAGTCGCTTTACGCAACACAACCAACTCCAGAGGCGTTTTTACCATTGCAGTGACATGTCACGCGCTTCTCTCTTCAGGCAAGCACTCCGCAAAAGCCTGGCCCTCTCGCTAACAACACAAGCATTTTTCACTTCACTGGAGATGCCTATCTGAGCAAGTGACATTCGTCAGAGAGCAGGCATTTAAATTATCAGACACTGCTATTAGTTACGTGAGCCAGAACACAACTTCACATAATCACAACTGTAGGTGAAATAGTGCAGCAAAAGCAGGTACACTACCCTACCTGTGTGACTTTTTTGTTCGTTTCTTACATACTTTCAGTGTCCTCCCACATGTGCAAAGCTAGCCAACATTTACCATTCGAATGACTCATGGGCAAAGTGTCCATCCCGCAACACTGAGCCAGAGCATTAAGCATATTCCTTGGATTATAAGACTCTCCAGAAAGGAAGATCTTGTCACAAAGACAAACACACATATACCTACTAGCTTATAAGATGTAACCCCAACCTTTGGTTTAAAGTACATGTTTTGAAGAATAATTTTAATATTTTAATCACTGCCAAGGTGGCTGGGTTTAAATTCAGGCATCAGTGATTAAATAAAGTTCAGGTTTTCATGTGTGAATGTTTCAGCCTAATCATCGATGACGACAAAAAAAAACTACTATATAAGTTGATCAAGAATATGAGTTTTGTTTTTAACTTAGGCTTTGCCAAACTCTAAGATTTAACTTAACAAGCGTCAGAAGACTGTCATGCGCCAAATCTCTTTTTTTTAATACGGAGTAATCCCAGCGTTAGGCGACAGAGTCGTACTGAATTGTCTCCAAGAAGTTTTAGGGAATCATCATCTCTGCATTGAGGCTCGGCTGGCTGGCAGATTTCATTGGAGTAATGAGGATGTAGTTGGTATTAAAATTATTTTATGAAAAAACACACCACAAATTAAGCAAATCACCAAAAAGTTTCACAGGAATGCTTTTTGCACAGTACATCAAGGCTTCTTAAAAATGCCGTGTGGGTCACATGTAAGTTATAAAAAAACAGCAACTGAAGGAATGGGCTTGCGGAGAGATCACTGTCCAAGCTCGGGTCACGAGTCACCACTCACCTGCTCCATAGGCCTTTGCGAAGAGCCATGCCAGCGTGGCCTTCACCTTGGCGCGTTCGGCATCGTAACTTTCGGCAGAACCCCCCCCCAGATCCTTCCAGACGCCTGCTTCCATCCCTCTCCTGGCACAAGAGCATGCACACACACATACACACACCACAGACAAAGATCATTCATCTTACCTATAAATGTCATTTTTCGTCCGTCTGTCTGTCTGTATGTCTGTTTGTAGATGTTCATTGGCAAACTTCGGACGGGCATGTATATGTGCTTTCTTGAGCAGGGGGACCTTGTGGGCGCTGCAGGATTTCAGTCCTTCACAGCGTAGTGTTACTAATTATTTTCTTGGTGACTATGGTCCCAGCTGCCTTGAAATCATTGAAAAGATCCTCCCGTGTAGTTCTGGGCTGATTCCTCACCGTTCTCATGATCATTGCAACTCCACGAGGTGAGATCTTGCATGGAGCCCCAGGCCGAGGGAGATTGACAGTTATTTTATGTTTCTTCCATTTGCGAACAATCGCACCAACTGTTGTCACCTTCTCACCAAGCTGCTTGGCAATGGTCTTGTAGCCCATTCCAGCCTTGTGGAGGTCTACAATCTTGTCCCTGACATCCTTGGAGAGCTCTTTGGTCTTGGCCATGGTGGAGAGTTTGGAATCTGATTGATTGATTGCTTCTGTGGACAGGTGCCTTTTATACAGGTAACAAGCTGAGATTAGGAGCACTCCCTTTAAGAGTGTGCGCCTAATCTCAGCTCGTTACCTGTATAAAAGACACCTGGGAGCCAGAAATCTTTCTGATTGAGAGGGGGTCAAATACTTAATTTCCCTCATTAAAATGCAAATCAATTTATGACATTTTTGACATGCGTTTTTCTGGATTTTTTTGTTCTTATTCTGTCTCTCACTGTTCAAATAAACCTACCATTAAAATTATAGACTGATCATTTCTTTGTCAGTGGGCAAATGTACAACATCAGCAGGGAATCAAATACTTTTTTCCCTCACTGTATGTGTGTCAGTCGATGTGTGTGTACGTCAATGTGTGTGTGTGTGAGTCCGTGTGTGTGTGCGAGTCCATGTGTGTGTGCGAGTCCATGTGTGTGTTAGTCCACATATCTGTGTGTAGTTCGATGTGTGTGTGAGTCTATGTATGTGTGTGTGTAAGTCGATGCGTGTGTGTGAGTGGCTGTATGTGTGTATGTCAATGTGTCTAAGTCGATGTGTGTGTGTGAGTTGATGTGTCTTTGAGTCCATGTGTGTGTGTAAGTCGATGTGTGTGTGTAAGTCGATGCGTGTGTGTGAGTGGCTGTATGTGTGTACGTCAATGTGTGTAAGTCGATGTGTGTGTGTGAGTTGATGTGTCTTTGAGTCCGTGTGTGTGTGTAAGTCGATGTGTGTGAGTTGATGTGTCTTTGAGTCCGTGTGTGTGTGTAAGTCGATGTGTGTGTGTGTAAGTCGATGCGTGAGTGTGAGTGGCTGTATGTGTGTACGTCAATATGTGTGTAAGTCGATGTCTGTGTGTAAGTCGATATGTGCGTGTCTTTTTCGCCCGGACAACGCCGGGTACTTCACCGCAAGATACTAATATAATGAGCCAAGAATGGCTGTGTGGAACGCGCGTGACGTCACTCCACGTCGACCAGCCCCCCTCATTAATAATCATGAACAGGTGACGTCCTACTACACATGGACCCCCACCCCTCATTAATAATCATGAACGGGTAACGTCACTCCACATGGGGGAGGGGGAGGCGCCTCTTCCCTCCTCCTCAGCGTCAACTTCGAACCATCACTACTAAGGCAGAACCCTCACATCACGCAATCTCTGTAACGCTATTGAGACATAGAAGTAATAAGTAATATTTAAAAAAAACTTTTTTTTAAACACGCTTTAATGAAATGTACCGTACTAGTAATGGAAGAACTCCACGACTCCAAGAAGTGGCCCCGAAGCTTGCCATAACGCAAGGGGGCCGTGGTGATTTACAGCCAACGTCAGTTTACCATGGACAATTAGACCCAAGCCGAAACATAACATATAAAAAATAATGTTAAAAAAATATTGTTTTTTATTTTTAATGATAGCATATAGCATTGTCATCAGTATGACATAAGTATACCAAGTTTGCAGTCGATACCACAAGTGGGTACAAATTGAGTTATAAGATTTGAGGATACAACAGAGTGAGTTAATAAAAAGCGTGAAAAAAGTACGCCTTGATGAACAAGGGATTATAACCCTTAAATGAAATAATTCTGTGTCACCGCGGCCTTACAAATTGCACACGAATGGATGCAATGAATATCACTTCGCAGTCTGCTTTTCGCTTGATTTACTGCAATACGCCCGTCCTTGGGCGGGCTATAGGCTAGTATCTATATATCTAAATAAGCTCAATCCTCCTGTAAATCATGTACATGACTTAAGTGTGGTTACCCCTACTATCAATCCCTCCTCAATCCCCACCCCCTGTGAAAACAGACGCGGTTCTGTGCAGCTCACCTCTACTTGCTTCTCTCACCCTTTCTTTCCTCCCCTCTCTTCAACCTCTAATCCTTGACATCTCGGCTCATTCATTCTTTCTCCCGCTCATCCCCTTCACGCCGGGCGCTCCTTTCTACGGACTGCTCCTCTTGAGCCATGCCCTCTTTGTCTGTCTTGGGGACTTCCACCCCAGCATCCCTTCCCACCCATCTTGCCCTGTCGGCCCTTTTGCACAACAGCCTCTACTCTCCTTCCCATGGTGTGCCACAGGTGAAACATTTATAGGGTCAAACGAAACCACGTGAGGATTAATCATGTAAACATAAAGCAAATCACATGTATGATAGCAATTGAAACCATTTCCTGAAAAGAATCATCACTAGCCATACAAATCATATGCAAATAACCGGGATTAATGGGATAAACAAAACTGTATGAATGAGCCAGTAAGAGAAGAATAGCATAGAATCACAGCCCTGAGCCACGGCAATTTATTGCATAACTGGGTGAGGTAAATTCAATACGTGACTATTAATCACCGCTCGTGGTGAAGCAACAAAATACGCATCCTTAATGTTGAGCATTTATTAAAAAAATACAGAGCAACTATCAATGTTTCACTTACACATCTCATAAAAACATCAGAGCCGGGCAGGCAAAGTAACTTACACCCCATCCCATACTAATATTTCTAAAAAAGGATTTTATGCAATATTGCTCGGAGGCATGCCAAGCGGTTATGGCCTGTAGAATACCGTTTAGGAGTTTCATAAGTCTGTCATAAAATAATCGGCATGATGCGGTGGTTACTGCACTGCGCTATGAACTCAGTGACCCGAGTTTGATTCCCAGCCCACAAAAGAAACATAATTTTTTATTTAGACTGGAAGAATGTCCAGTAGGGGCAGGTCAGAAAGTTACAACAACAATACAAAAAACAGATAGAGTGCAAAAGCATGGTCACTAAATCAAAATAAGTAGGGTATATGGGAGACCATTGAATATCGCGGGTTAACTGTTCGCGATTTTGACCTATCGCGGGCAACCTCTGTGCATACCAATTTAGCATTCGCGGGAGTTCGTTTTGGCCTTTCACGGGTATACTGTACACAGAAATACCAAATTGTGGTGTTGTGTGGCTGACATACCGTGGCGTGGGGCGGACGAGGGACGCGGGCAGCCAGTCGCACCTAAACTTTTGCCATGCAAGCTTTTTGCAGAAAAACTAAAAAAAAAACTTTTAAAAAAATCTCCCGTGTAGCCTTAACAGACTGTAGGGGCAAGTGCTGTTAGCGAGCACCTACGAAGGCCGGCACGACACACGTGGTGGTGGGTGGCCAGCACCACGCCCGACCGACAGCGTCTCCCTAGTAGCGACGTTTACACACCGCACCAGGTACTCATTTGAAGCCGAATCAACCTCAGGGGAGGCCCATGACCGGTTCAAATAATCGTCACTGATGTTGGCCGTGAGCCGGAATCGAACTCGGGTCGCCGGGTTCGTAGCGTGGCGCGCTAACCGCTACACTACCACTCGCGGACAAACATACACACACACCTGCTTTGGATCATCAACAGCAAGTACAATATTTATTCAGTATTCATACTATTTATTGTCGCGGAATGTTTTTTGTATATGGTTTTTTATGCGTTAATTTCAATTATTTAGTTTTTAGATTATTTGGGCATACAGTCCAGAAATACATATTTTTGGTTGCCGTGTGCCTAACTCCATTATTTAGGTAAGGCCCAAGTATTAAATATCGCGGTTTTAGCTTTCGCGGCACTTTCCAAGAACGTAACCCCCGCGATATTCAAGGGTCTCCTGTACAAGGACAAATTGCCCACGTACATAAATTATTGCCCATTTTTCAACACCAAATGTAAGCTTGGGCAAGACAGAAAAACAAAAAGTTCCACACCACACCAAGCCGACACATAGTCCCTAAAAAAAAATGCACATTAAAATTGAACTATGGATACATGGGCAAGAATGAAAGTTACAAAACACATTTGCAAATGTGGTTGTCTCCAGCACTAATCTTCTGCTTCAGTATATTGTTTTATGGAAGATTTATGATGCTAAGCCACAGCTACCATCAGTACTGTGTGATATCTGAATCGATCCTGAGCATCCCCTTTCATAAACCCACACAGACCAGTGGTGGAGTACGGTCAGACTATGCCTATGACCAACATAGCATAGGTAGACCCCCACACCTCCGATAAGTACGGTTGGCTACGTACGGTGTGAAAGAAGTTCAACATACATACAAAAGGCTAAATTTACGTTTTTATATTGAAAATGATCAGCAGTGGTCATGATATCGAGAAGCTGGCCCCACCACAATAATGTGGAATGACAAACATTGGCAAAGGAACTCTCAAGGGGAGGAGTACAAAACGAAATGTCGTTCGCAGGAAGGACACTGACTTTTTTTTCGTCTTAGAAAGGTTAGACTGACCAATTTCACTACACTCATCTATACCCTCCTGGAGCATCAACAGAGACCATTAATGTCCACAACCATACACACACTTGTTTATAGTTTGCCCACGGGTACATGAGGGGGTACATGTTCGCGAGCTGGAGGTGGGTGCAATGAACTTTGGACTGAGACAGCTAAAAAAC